TACACAGTGATCTCTTCCATTCTAGGCAGAAAAGTTAGGTTGTTCATCTCTGAAAACACCAGCTCATAAATCAATAGCTAATCAAAAATATTAAATTACAAAACCAACAGAAGCAAATGGCTGAATATTGTATTTTTCAGCAGCTTCAGCGGTGGCAAAGCTTTGTCTGGACCAGCAGAACAAAGAATGAAAACTCTTGTCTTCCCTTTCCCTGCTTCTTCCCATCTTCCTGGGAATTCAAACTTCTTGTGGACTGTAGGAAGAAGGGTCATGGCAGACTGGCTTGATACAAGGGCATCAAGAATATTCCTGTTGTTCTCCCATGCACTCAAAGAAATCCTTCACCCTGCCTGGGGACACTATTCTGCACCAGGAAGAAATTCTAAATCCAACCCCAAAGGTGGGGACTAAAGTCAGGTTTTGGGTCTGCATAAGCATTCTGCTAGTTGCTTTCTAGATAAAAGGTAAATTTTTCTATCCACTTCCTGACTAGCCTGGAAAGAGGTTTGTGGTTTTTTTATTGTTCTTAGCAACCCAAGCACTACTGTGGAGTAGGTTAGATTATAAAATTCATTTTATTGCAACACGGCAGCTGCCCAGCCCAGGAAATTGTTAAATATAGGATCCAGTTCCCTGATAAATCAGAACTCGTGCAGATTAAGGAAAAGCAATTGCCAAACTGGAGAAATGTATATACCAATGTCTGGTAAAGCAAGGAAACAACCTCCTACCATAACCTTGTTTGAAAGATGCCAACAATGGGAGAGGGGACCCAAAATGGTGTGGAGTTGACATCAGTCCTACAAACAAGTAGAACAGACAGATGGGGACTGATGGCAGCCTTCTACCATGTGGCACAGATTACAAAGGATGATCTGAACTGGAAAAGTTACTGCTGGGTAGTTCTCAGATGTGGCCTACCTAAACCATATTCCCATTGCCTTTTCTTTCTGTGGTGTCTGAGATAAGGAAAACCTTGATAGTTCTAAGTAGGAATAAGAACCTGTCACCGAGCACTTATTATGCTTGAGCAAACTAAAGGACTACAGTTGTCTAGACCAACTAATGTCCTAGCCAACTTCCAGTTGCAAGCTACAACTTCATGTGTAAGGATATTAAAAGAGTCACTGCCACACTCAATAAGATTAGAAATGATTGTGTCAAAGTTGCAAGAACCATGAAAGTTTCTGAATCCCATCCTCTTCCCACACACCTGCTCTCTGGCAGATACATGTACATGAGAGGAAAAAAAAATCTTCAGCTTTCTTAACTGACACCTGCCCCCGAACAAACTATTCAATAATGCAAGCACCCTTTATTACATAAAAAAATGTTCATTAAAACCATATTCATAAAATGGGCTCATCACAATGGCTATGGGCACAACTAAACTGGTTGACTACTAAACTTCAATGAACCCTAGAGTGATTCCCTCACTTGCCTGAGCTGTCATATAAGCAGAATTGTAACCCGGAATGAACTCAGGCAAATAGTGGGAATAAAACAGATAGCTGATCTTCAGCCACAGTATAAAACCTAACCTTGGTTTGGCTATACTAGTGGAAGAACTAAATTCCAGAGTTAAAGCCTGCCCACTGAAAATGCTCTGCATGCAGGCTCCAGATGTTTAATTTCAGGAATTGTGATAACTTAACTACTAATCAATTATAGTTTCATGGGTGCCACACAAAAAGTCATATATGGGTCCTGCAACTTACCAGGCCTGGGATGGAAGTTTCCATCCTTGAAATACATTGCGCGTGCAGGGTTCCAGGCTAACAGCATCTGGGCTTTATCAGCTTTAACTCATGCCTTCAGCTGGGAAACTACTAAGCGGTAAACAAGTTTGACCTCAGTCTCAGCTCATGAAAGTGGTAAGAATGGCATTGAGCCAGTACACGCATAACCGGTAAACAACTGTAGTAGAACTAGTGTAGGGAGTCTTGTGCCTGGTGAATCTCACCAGGGACCTAGACTTTGGAGGGTCCCTGGATTCCCCCAGCTGGAGACATGTCCATTGTGGCCTGGTGCAATGTGACAGGAATGGGTGTAAGCATTTCTAAGTGCCTGTTACTCTTTTACGCATTGCTCTGCTTGTACTTATTGATGTGTCACTTTGCAGTAGCTGTGTAGCCATTTGGCAGTATTAACCCTATAACAGTAGTGACATAGTGAGATTAATAAAAGCAACTATCCCTAATTGACTCTGGTACGAAGTGAATCCATAATACTGTTTGGCCATACTCCTGTGAGTTGACAAAGGGAAGAGGTGAAATTTCTCATAAAGCTAGAACAAAGATACATTGGGTTTTAAATATTAATATCAATGCTTTGCATGAAATCTGAAATAAATAGGAAGTCAGTACAGCTGATCTAAAAGACTCCTTACAAACAACTGTATCATACACTACCTATGTATTCCGAATGGCCCTCAGCGTCATGTAGTGTGTATTCCAGTCATCCAATATTAAGGGGACAAAGACATGAAAAACCTTGGCAAAGACCACTAAGAAAAAATTATCATTATGTCACAAAACATATAAAAAAGTAGCTCTGCTCACCAAAGCTCATGCCATGATCCATCAGAGATTCAAAAACTTGTCTAAATTATCACTCTGACTGTGAGCAAGCCTCCTCACTTAGATGTGTAAGCATCAAGCTTCCCATTCTCTTTTGATGTGTCCTCTAAACAAAAAGCATCACCTCTATCTCATCTATACTGAGTACTAGTGACCTCCTTCTCAACCATACCCTATTTCATATAGGCACCGAGTAAGAAAAAAAACCCATCACAACATCTACGTTTGACAGAAAAAAAAGACTGAACTATGCCAATTAAAACCACCTTTTTTCACAGTAGATTCAAGATAGCTCACTGTTACAAGTCTCACAGACTAAGACAAGAAGGGGACCATCATGATCATACACGCCGACCTTCAAACTCACATGCAATTTATAATCAATAAACAGCGTATTGTGATATAGTATACATTTGTCAACACAGGGTACCTCCCATAGAATTTTTTTTTTAAAAAAAGGACAAGTCTTTGTAGTTGTTTTTCTTTGGAAGCGCACAGAGAGAGAAGCTCCTGAACAAAGGCAAGACAAAATGTGTTTCTGGTCTACAGAAGTTTTGATTAAATAGTCTAGAGGAAGCATACTATTCATTACTCTTCATTAACTACAAATAGCTTTTTTCACTACAATAGCAACAGGTTAAAAATACATACAATCAAAGGCCTGCTGTATAATCACTGTAATTTATCTTTTAATACAATATCTGCAAATAAATCCAATAAACACATATTCAAGATAAAAATAATGCCTACTGTATAGATACTACAAGCAGAAAGATATTTAAAAACAGATAATACAATGGGTGAACCAACATGAAGAGTTTTAATATAAACATTTGCAAACAGATGTGTAGAACTATGTATTTAAAAATTGAGAGAGAAAGCTGAAACTCCAAATCTACTGTAGAATGATTTGGGGTGTCTGTGGACAAGCTGAGCAGGAGATCATGTGAGTTGTCAAGGAACCCATTTGTATTCTGTGATTGGTGGAGCAGGTGTATACAGAAGGTTGGTTATACAATGTTATAGAGCTATCTGAATACTACATTTATGGTGTGTTAATTTAAAATGCTAAAAGAGGGCAACCAAAAGATTAAGAATTTTATTTGTGATAATTGTTTAAGAAAGATCAACATAGTTTCATTATTTACTCTTATAGGTTTATAAAAAATATATTAATACATTATTAAATACTGTGAATGTATCTAGAAATATAAGAAACCATGGGTCCCATCAGTCACCAGTGGACATAAAAATCCACAGTGTGAACATTTGGACACAAATACTCAGATGTTTCAAGAGCCTTTTGTCTCTTAGAGAAACAAAATTCCTAATTACAGAACTCATCACTGATATTAAAAATGTGTGAAAAGGGATAGCTGGAGAAGTAAAGACAGAAAAAAAAAGAGTCACAGGGTCTGTTGTGGAATGCCATCTCTATGGAAATTCAATGGGATAAGATATGGGTGGGCAAACTATGGCCTGCAAGCTGTATCCAGCTCGCAAGTTCCCGCTTTGATGGTGGTGGTGGTGGGGATTGGAGTCAGGGAACTGAATTGGGGGATTGTCCTGCTCCATGTGTACCATGGCTCCTTGAAGCATAGGAGGCCAGGGAGCTCTGCATGCTGCACCTTCCCCAACCACTGGGAACCACAGGCAATGGGAGCTGCTGGAACAGTGCCTGTGGACGAGACAGCACACAGAGCCACTGGCCATGCAAACCTATACCTAGGAGTCGGAGGGAGGATGTGCTGCTGCTTCTAGGAGCAACTTACAGTAAACATCACTCAAAGAGTGCACACCTGAGCCGCCCTACCCCATGCCCCAAACTCCTGCTCCCCACCTATACCTTCCTACCCTCTGAAGCCCCTCATCCCAGTCCAGAGCACCCTGATCCACCTCAATCCCTCATCCCCAGAGCCTGCACCCCTAGCTTGAGCCCTCACCTTCCCATGGCACCCCAACCTCCTGTCCCAGTACTGACCCCCTCCTGCCCTCCAAACCCCTCGGACCAACCCTAGAGCACCCTCTCACACTCAAAGCCCCTCATCTCTGGACCTACCCTAGAGCTTGCACCTCCAGCTACAGACCTTATCCCCTCCCACATTCCAACCCACTGCCCCAGGCCAGAGCCCCGTCCTGCATCATAAGCTTCTCATTTCTGTCCCGACCCAAGAGCCTGCACATCTAGCTAGAGCCCTCAATTCAACCCCCAATTTTGTGAGCGTTCAAGGCCCATCATACAATTTCCATACTCAAATGTAGCCCTCAGGCCAACAGTTTGCCCACCCCTGGGTTAAGATATACTGTAATTTTTTATACGTAGCCAATGTTTGAGGATCACTCCTTTTTATTCATATATAACTATATTATAGGCTAACAAATGAAGTCTGCAGCAAATGTCATTCTTAACGACTCTCTTACCTTTTGCATGAACAAACAGCACCCAACAAAACTGGAAAACTTCAGAAACTGTGCAAGGCTGCCGTCTTTTGGAAAGAAAAATAAGATTAGAATATGCAACAAACTCAATACATACACTCAGACAAAAACAGTATGACTTAAAGCAGTGTTTCTCAAAATTGGTGCAGTCTCACTTTGGGAAAGCTGCTAGTGGGTCCGTGCCACTTTGTCTACCTAACGGGTCTGTAGCTAAGGAGCCTCACAGCTCTCATTGGCTCTGGTTTGCTGTTTCCAGTCAAGGGAAGCTGCAGGGCTCCCAAGTGAGGGAAAAAAGACTTTCATCTCACTTCCCTCAAGCTCTAGCCCCTAAGGAGGGGGATGGGAGAAGAGGCATTGAGGCTCAGGGCTTACCCTAGGGCAGGATTAACTCTTCTGGGGAACCAGGGCTAGTAGATTTTCAAGTGTTCCTCTGGGCTCTGGGATGGGGCCAAAAATGAGGGATCAAGCACGCAAAAGGGGGCTGCCCGGGGGCAGGCTGGAGTAGGAGTGTGGGGTCTGGGCAAGAAGGGGAAGGGGACTGAGGCACTCCCAATAGGATGTAAAATCCTGATTAATCAGTTAACCCAGTGTTTCCCAATTTTATTTGGCCACGGAACCCTTTTAAATTTGAAAGAATTTTGCAGAACCCCTAATAACAGTCTTATATATGGAGCTAAAATAGTAGACCACAAACAAGTAAGGATAATAATAAACAAATGCTAAACAAGGTCATGAGACTTTGTGCAATGCGGTGTTAGTATATTCACATTCAGTCACCCATGTGATCCATGCTCCTTGAGAGTGAGTACGGGGATTTACAGTGGTATATAACAGGGGATCGCACCACTGACTACCTGTGCACTCAGCGCTGAGTAGTGACATCATCGTCCCCTCTCTCTGGCTAAGCTGGCATTACACAGGGACACTTATCATGGCAAACACAAATGCAAATTGTTTCAATAAAATTCATAAGTGCTTAAATATCAATTATTTTTTAAAAAATCATAAAATGTTATTGTAATGGAATTTTCTCACAGAACCCTTTCTCACTTTGCTGAACCCCAGGGAACACCATTTGGAAATTTAAGATCCCTAGATCACAGAAAAATGGATTAAATAAAAGAGAAATATAACTACAAAAAAATTAAGTGTTAGAAAGGGAAAAGAAAAGCTGAGCACAACAGACATTAGGAATACTTCAGCTACACAGATGGAAGCACCAATTAACAGATACATTTCCCTCTTGGTTAACCAGCTAAAGGAAATCAAGGGAAGCCATACATTAACAAACTCAGGCAGATAAAATTTTAAGAAGTATAGAATCAGAAAAAGTAAAGTTATACTAACATAAATCTGATTATATACACATAAAATCTATTAAGTTTTTCAACAAGGAAATGGAATAGAAATTTGCTACCATAAAGCGAGGCACAGAAGAAAGAATGACCTATTAAACAAACTGCAGGAATTACTAGATTAGCTAAATCAAAAAAATAAAAAAAATCGAAATACCAAGAAATTATCAATGATCGTAGCTCTAAAATCAGTTAGAAAAAATTGCAAAAACATACCTCTGTTTTCTTCCTCTTTGTTGACGAGGTTGGTCATCTTGAGGATATGTGAAAATATCCTGAAAAATGGGTTCATACTTCTTAAAAATTACAGCAGAAACTGTGAAGTTTCTCTCCAGTCTCTCAGTACGTTCTCTGAACTGCAAGGGTAGATTTGCCATATCTTCCCATTTCTTCATCTTGTTAAAAAACTCAATCAAGCTGAGGGCATTTAGAAGATGGGGATAAGTAGTTTATTTTTTATGAAGAACTATAAAAAAAATGTACAATAAACCAGGTTGTGTTTTCAACTTCATGAACTGCTGACAATGGTGCATACACAGTCTGATAAGACTGCATTATTACAAGCAGGAAAGATAATTAAAGCTCAGTGCTCTTCGTTCATGATCAACCGTCAATACAAACACCTAACAAAGAACACTGTAGATGCTAGTGCTAATGGGGACTTCATACTGGGGTGGGCAAGATCCAGCCCGCCAAGCCGTTTGATTTGGCCCATGGCCCCTCCTGCTATGTTCCTGCCCCCAGGCCAATTGAGATCCAGGGGTGAGGGAGTGCTCAGTCAAAGTGGCTGGTGGCTCCCCCACTCTGCCAGGGCCATGCAGCACCTAGAGGAAGACACCAGCTGTTTTAAACAGAGAATGACTGCGCACTCGTCCACCCCCAGGTCCTGATTGGCCTGGGGGATGTGGAGGGAACTGCCAGCTGTTCAAAACAACTGACCGTTCCTCATAGGCATCACGCCCCCTATCAGGGTGAGGGGCAAGACTTTGTGCACTACCAAGCCTGGAGGCGAGGGAGCATGTGAAGTCTTCTCCCCACCACCAGGGGCATGTGGTGCCTAGAGGGAACTGCCCCGTCTGGCTAAGCCATGCCCTTTGATTCAGGCAAGTCAATAGCTTTAAGAAATTTATTTTCTTGCTTTTATGGATTTTAAATGGCCATTTTAAGGATTTTGATGGCTCTGCTGAATGTTTTTGGATCTCTGCTGCTCTGCAGGCATGCAGCCCTTCCCTTTCAAAACTTTGGAAAGTATTTGATAGATGAGTGAGCTGCTCCATGTGGGGAACTCTAAAAAGCACAGGAATTAGCTCTGCCTTCCCACAACATTGCACTGTGGGATGCATACCCACATTACTTTGTTCTAACTGTAACCAGGGTGCTAGTAATGTGGCCATGAAATTTCAAAAATGGGAGGCAAAAAAACCTGGTTTGACCATTTTTCACTTTTGGCAACTTTTGCATGTCGACAGCACTTTTGTTGCCAACCCTCCCAAGTGTAGACATAGCCTTAGAGATTAACAAAAGTATTAGGACATGAACTCATCTGATGAGTTGGAGTGCAAATTACGGAAACTGTGGTATATATAACAGTCAATTGTAGGACTAGTGTAACAAGCTAATTAAGTCAGAGTGGATGTGTTTCATTCACAGCATTTGAAGCAAAGATTGAAGGCAGGGAAATTTGTTAGTCTCCAAGGTGCCACAGGACTGCTCGTTGTTTTTACATATGGATCAGACATCTTGAAGAACCTCCAGTTAGAAGTAGAAGAAATAGAGGTTCTTGTCAAATACACACACATGGGCAATTGTTAAGCAGTTTTTACAGAAAAGGGTTGGAGGAGGCAGCTGATACAAATGTCTGTAAAAGTACTGTCCCAACAGATGCATCTGCAGAAGGGGACTGGACTAAAGTGTAATATTTTGTGAAGGTATAGACTGAGCTCCACATAGCCTTCCTACGTATGACCAGTATATATACTCTCAGAGATGACACTGAGGTTGCTTGTATCTTAGTGGAATGAACTCCCACTTCATCTATGTTTTATATCAGCACAACAACTTGGTCATGAGGTGAAGAGGGCTTGGGTTAGGAAGTCTGATTTTTCTGTTCTCCTGAATTACCAGATTCAGGAAAGGACATATGCTGATGGGAGGAAGGACTGACATTCATGAGAGGTCCAAAAACTAGGACTGCCTAGGCCAGCTGAGTGAGATAAGAAAGACATGAGCCTTGTTGTGACAATGTTTTGCAGAACCTTTGGTAGCAGTGGGATGGAAGGAAAGGCATACCACAGGTGGTTTGCCCAGGATAAAAGGAGAGCCTTTCGAATGATCAATCTAGTGCTGATCTGCAGCAGTGCAGGTGGAATTTCTTGTTCGCTGGGAGACAAACAGGCCCCAAAATGGCATTCTCCACTAAGCCAGGATGTAATTTAGTACATAACTGTGTGTCTGACTTTCA